AGACCATCAGGAAAAAAAAAAATGTTTTTCCCCTGAATCCTAGAAAGGGCCACAGCAGGAAAGGACCCTAGTCAGAGGTAACTGACCCATCCTAATATGTAGCTGAGATAGCCTCCTTCCTTCTATAGCTTCTCCATCTTCTCCAGGAGGCCACTGAGCTCCTTTCTAGGACCTGGGTGTCCTGCTGCACTCCACCGATCAGCTAGTCACTGTCCACCAAAGACCACTGTTCAAAAACAATGCAGCAAAATTGTCATTAGCAGTTTATAGAAAGACAGCTATATCAACGGGTGAATTTTTTCCCCCAGTTGTGCTATAAACTAGCACTAATTAGCCAGCTCACCTTGGGCAAGGCACTCCTCTCTGGGCCTCAGACTATCCATCTGAAGAATCAGGGATCAAACTTGGTGACACCTAAGGGTCCTTCCAGCTGCATTCTGAGTAAGATTCTCTAGAGTTCTTTCCGCATCTCACCTGCAATAAACTCTGCAAGCTTATCATTGCTCTTACTTGACAAAGGCAAGAGGCTCTGCAAAGGCAAACGCAGGAAGAAAATCAGACACCTGATTCTCACACAGTCTCTCCTCTAGAATTTCCTTATAAAAATCACCTTCAATGTCTTTCACTAAACATCAGGCACAAACTGCAGGTAAAAAGTTGAACAAATCTACTGTCCATCAATCTGTGAGGTTCTTTTGAGCTGCAGCAATTTGCTTTTCCCCTTTTCTGTGTACAGCGAGACCTTTCTCTGCACCTCTCCAAAAGGCAGAGGCCTCTTCTCGCCTCACCTCTCCCACCCTCCCCCCTGGGCATTTCAGCAACCCCTCTGCCTTTTTAGTTCAAACAGGAGTTAACAAGGTTCCACGTGGGCTTCTTCACAGTCCATCAACCTGGGGCCAGGGCCGACTGCAGCTTGCCGCATGGAAAATGGACAAAGCCACAGCAGAAAGACATTGTGCTTTCAGGTTCTGAGATGTGATGAACAATAAGGAGCTGTTTTGGGTGTCTCAGGTCTTACCTTTTAAACTTTCTATTCATTCCGGGATGAATTAGGGATGCTCCAGGGAGATGTCTGCTCTTCCTGGGCTTTTGCTTTCTTGGAAGCTGCTAAGGATGCTCTTGAAATTCCTACCCCATCCCTGATTTTTTTGGGACAGCATCACCCCAAACCATGGAACAAGCTCTCTCATAAAGAACAATAGTAAGATGGCAATACTATATCTTAACACACATTGATCAACTCCTATGTGTCAGGCATGTGCCCGGTACATCCTCAAGCTATCCTCACAAAAACCTTATGAGGCCGGGCATGGTAGCTCACACCTGTAACCCTGGCACTCTGGGAGGCCGAGGCTGGAGGATCGTTCAAGATCAGGCGTTTGAAACAAAAACCTTATGAGGTTGGTATTGTCCTTAACTCCACTTTATAGATGATAACACTGGCTGGAAGTCAGAGAGGTTAATTTGCCCAATGTCACACAGCTAGTAAGCAGAGCTGGGATTTGTCTTAGTCCATTTGTGCTGCTATCACAAAATACTCAAGACTGGGAAATTTATAAAGAAAAGAAATTTATTTCTCACAGTTCTGGAGGCTGGGAAGCCCAAGATCAAGACTCCAGCAGGTTAGGTTGTCTGGTGAGAGCTGCTCTCCACTGCCCACCTGGTACCTTGTTACTAGGTCCTCCAGCGGGAGGAACACGGCATCCTAAGGGCAAATGAGCCAAACACTGCAGGAAGCCTCTTTGTTTTTGTTCTTTTAAACTTTTTTATTTCAAAATATTAATTAAGGGGGTACAAGTGCTTTTGTTACATGGATATCTTGTTTAATGCTTAAGTCAGGCCTTTTGCTGTGTCCATCACCAGAATAGTATTCATTGTACCTGATAGGTATTTTTTTTAATTTCAGGATATTACAGGGGTACACACTTTTTGGTTACATAATTTGCTTTTGTACAGTCTAGTCAAAGTTAAAAGTGTGCCCTTCACCCAGATAGTGTGCATTGTCCCCATTAGGTGTGAATTTACCCATCCTCTCCTCCTCCTCCCACCCACTTGATTTCATTGAGTTTTACTTCCATATGTGCACATAAATGTTGATCAGTTAGTTCCAATTTAGTATTGAGTATATGTGGTGTTTGTTTTTCCATTCTTAATGATACTATTCTTAGAAGAATGGTCTTCAGTTCCATCCAGGTTGTTACAAAAGATACTAGACCACCATTTCTTGTGGCTGAGTAGTACTCCATGGTATACATATACCACATTTTATTAACCCACTCATGAATGGATGGGCACTTGTGTTGTTTCCACATCTTTGCAATTGTGAATTTTGCTGCAATAAACATTTGAGTGCAAGTGTCTTTTTTATAAAATATCTCTTTTTCTTTGGGTAAATATTTAGTCAGGGAAATGCAAATCAAAACCACAATGAGATATCACCTAACTCCAGTGAGAATGGCTCTTATCAAAAAGTCTCGAAACAACAGATGCTGACATGGATGCAGACAGAAAGGAACACTTATCCACTGTTAGTGGGACTGCAAAATAGTACAACCTCTATGGAAAGTGGTATGGAGATCCTCAAAGAACTAAAAGTAGACCTACTATTTGATCCAGCAATCCCACTACTAGTTATTTACCCAAATGAAGCCTCTTTTTTAAGGTCCTTAATCCTATTCATGAAAAAAGAGCCTTCATGGCCCAATTACCTCTGAAAGGCCCCACCTCTTAAAACCATCACATTGGTCATTAAGTTTCAACACCTGAATTTTGAAGGGAAAACATTCAAACCATGGCAGAATTAGAACCCAAGCAGTCCTAGAACACAGCCTGCACTCTTTACCCCTCTGCTACACTGTGTAAACCAGACCCTTCCCATGCCCCAGCTTCTACAGACTTCCTCTCCCCATAACTGGAGCCTCCCAACTTTTACCTGCAGGCTGCAAAGAATCGAAATGCAATCCCGATCTCAGGAAGATAGTGGTACAGGGATATGCACAGCTTTGTACATATACTCAGGGCCAAGATACCTTTTCCTGTGGCTCCAGCCTTGACTATATGTTCGAAATGCCTAGCTAAGCTCCTCACTTATTCCCTGGGTCTGAATCCCATTTGTAGATTATCTATTACTTACACAGTCCTTTACTCATTCATTGTGCAAATGTTTTTGATTATCTAATACACACTAATCATGAAAAAGAGAAAATACAGTCAAGAAACAAATATGTAATTACACCCACTTTACAAATGGGAAAATAGAAATTGCCTGCCATCTCACATCTGATAAACAGCAGCGGTAGCATTTAATTCCAGGTCTTCCTATTTCTGAGATTTGGGCCTTGCCTTGTTCTTGCTAATACTCTCCTATCCTTGATTCTTATGTTCTTTTCAAATGACAACCAGTTCTCCAACCCCCTGACACCAAGTGGGTGTCCAGTTCAATTTTGACAATTTTAGCTCAAACCCCACAGGTTAAGGACTCAGTCCCACAAAAGGCCTACTGTAAATGGAGTCCCCAGGATACCTACACTCTGCCCAGTCAATTACAAATCCCATGTATCCTGGGGACTCCATGACCTGTCCTCAGGTTCAATAATTTGTTAAAATGACTCACAGAGTGCAAGAAAACTCTATATTTATGATCACAGTTTTATTACAAAAGCTAAAACGCAGGAAGAGCCAAATGGAAGAGACCCACAGGGCATGGCAGGGTTGGGAGGGGGAAGCATGGAGCTCCCATGCCCTCTCTGAGCGCACCACCCCCAGAGTGACATCAATGTGTTTATAAACCCAGAAGATCCCCTCACCTTGTTGTTCAAAAGTTTTTGCCAAGGCTTCATCATATAGGCATGACTGATTGAATCATTGGCAACTGGTGATTAAACTGAACCTCCAGCCCCCTTGCCTCCCCAGAATTTGAAGAGTAAGGCTGAAAGTTCCAACCCCCTAATCACAGAGTGTGGTCCACCCTCCCTTGAAACTATCTGAGGGGCTACCTTGAGTCACCTCATTAGCATAAATTCAGATATCACAGAAAAGGGCTCCTTATAAATAACAAAAGATGCTCTTATCACTCAGGGAATTCCAATTTCTGAAGCTCTGTGCCAGCAACTGGGGTCAAAGATCAAATATATCTATCTATATGATATCATATATAACATACTGTACATAATATATATGTTTTTTATTATTTCACCACAACCTTCCAGGAGCCATAGCCGGGGACTGAAACCCTGTCACCTGCCCTCAGACTTCCCTGAACAGAATTACCTGCCTGGATTTCTGTGAATGCTTCCTGGCTCCCCATCACTGTATCTGAACACCTGTCAGGGCAATCCGTCTGCTTACCTGGAAACTCTCCCTCCCCCTATGTTCGGCCTACTGGACTAGTCTTGCCCTAGAACCCACAGCCAGCTGTTCCCCATCCCTCCCCACCACCCCAAGCCTTTCTCATTCCAGGGAACCGATCTTCTTCCAGGACTCTGTGCCTATAGGAGTTAACTGTGTCATGTTTTGCCAGCTACCAATGTGACCCAGACATGCCCAAGGGGCATTTGACTTTTCCAGTTATGGACTTGGCAGGCCACAGGCTTTGTTTGGTATTGAAGAGGTTAGAGAAAGAATTGGGTCAGTATGAATCACGGCAAGAAAAAAAAAATCTATAAGAGTATTAGATTTGGAGAATATTACCATCCAGTATTATTAGAACACCTATCTGGCCATGTTAGCGAGGGCTGTATCAGCGTTTCCATTATAAATCCTATTTTCAAGGGTTTATGACTTGCTGTAAAAATTCAATCGAGGCTGAAAAGCCACATACTGAGTTTGCAGTGCAGGAAGCAGTTTGATTCAAAGAAAAGATAAAAAGTTGAGAAGAAACAAACAGAAAACAGAAAAAAAGAAACAGGTTGTTTAAAAAGAAGAAAGCTAGAGAGCTGTCCTGCTTTTGTGCCCTCGTGTGAATTAAAGCTGCTTTTGTTTTTACATTTGGATTTTCTCAGGTTATTAACACCCATGTGGAAAGAGGCCTACGGGGATACTGAAGCCAAATGCATTTAGCGCCATGATGTGTTTTCCAATTGGGAAAGCCCCGCTCACAGCAGGTGTAAAGGCTTGTTCCACGGGGTGTCCTGTGGGGAGCAATGCCGCCCCCTCACAGACTGGGTTCATGAAAACTCTCCAGGGACACACATCGAATCTTTGCTGGTTCAGTAAAAAGCAGGTATGTAGGTTGCATTTATGTGTCAACTTAACTGAGCTAAGAGATGCCCAGGTAGCTGTTAAAATGTTATTTCTAGGTGTGTCTGTGAGGGTGTTTCTGGAAGAGATTAGCATTTAAATCAGTAGCCTGAGTAAAGAAGATCCACCCTCACCAGGATGGGTGGGTGCCATCCAATCTATTGAGCAGCCAGATAGAACAAAAAGACAGAGGAAAGGTAACTGAAATCTCCCTTCTGGGGCTGGGACATCCATCTTCTCCTGCCCTTAGACATCAGAGGTCCAGGTTCACTGCCTGTACCCTCCAGCCCTCCCTTGTTCTCTTTGGCCTTGGACTGAGAGTTACACCATCCATCAGCTCCCCTGCTTCTCAGGCTTTTGGACCCAAAACTAATTACTCCACCAGTTTCCCTGGTTCTCCAGCTTGCAGATGGCATATCTTGGGACATCTCAGCCTCCATAGTGGCATGAGCCAATTTCTATAACAAAGCCCCTCTTAAATGTCTGTATACACCCTATTGGTTCTGTTCTCTGGAAAACCCTAACTAATACAGCAGAGCACAGGAGATGCTCAGCAAGCTTATACTTTCTGATGTGGAAAAGGTAAATTATGTTCCAATTAGTCATTTCCTAAAAATAAAGCAATCATTTATGTCTCTCTCTGTCACTCTAGAGAGCATATTTTGAGGCAGGCACCCAAGATTTCCTTACATCTGTGATTATTTATCCACTCATAATTTCATACAAAATGGCCCAAGAGATACTTGCTGCTTTTGCCAGCATTACCCCTAACCCGAACTTCCCAAGGACAGGAATCTTGTGTTAGTTCAGAAACACCAAGTGCATGTTTGGAATACACAATTCACCAGAATCTACCCTGAATATTTTGATAATAGTTCTTTACCCCCAATTTTCAATAAATAAATCTTCAAGCGGTTCAAGGGAGTAAGAGGAAGACACCGAAAATGTCTTTGGGTCCAGACTTTCTCCATGGGAGGGAGCTCAGGGATGGCAATCTAATTGGAAGAAGAAAATGGAATTTGTCTTGAAGCTGTGGTTACACAGTAAGCCAACATACTGCTATACGTAGCTCGTTTGATTACTTGGGGGAGATTTAAGGGGGTGCTGATTGAAATAACGTGTGGAACGTTAACGCCTGTCCAATCCTTGTTGCCGTTACAAAAGTGAGATTCTGTATTCAGGAGGACACTCCATCCAAAACTCAGAGTTTGATCTCAAGTAGAAGGGCTGAGTAAAAGGAAAGTGGAATGGAATTTGTTTTTAACTTCTGTGCCAGTTAAAAACTTCTATGACAGTTGCTTTTTATATGTTATTGTTTGTGAACCTTTAAAAAAAAACCATGATTTAGATATGAATATCCATGCCCACTGAAACAATGCAGAAATTAAGGCTAACTCACCCAAGTCAAGCCACAAATAAAATGGCAGAGGCAAGATTGAATCCACACCCTCTGCGTTGATGGCCCTTGATCTTTCCACATCAGTTCCCAGCAATAATTGGATAAATTGGATAAATTACAGAGTAGAAATGAAATGGAAATGGTCTGAGAGTTTCAAGTTTGATGTCAACTGGGATAGGAATGGGGACAGGCCTGGTAATCACCTTCACAAAGGAAGGCAGACTTTAATTATGCTAATTCCTCAAATGTAGAAGAATAAGGTTAAGTTCAGAATATAAAAAGCTTCTGGGATTGTTTAAAAAATATTTAAAAAGCATCTAACGATCTTTCTAATTACATATAAGCAGTCTTCCCATGAACTCTGAAAGATAAGAACGTCCCATTGTTAAAGGTGATATTGGTAATTAAGCTAATGTCTCCTGGCTCCTCACCCACCCTGCTGTACTCTACAGGGTGTCCCAAAAGTCACTACACATAGGGAAAATGGGAAATTATAGCCAAATGTACCTTTATTTACAAAATATTCATTATAAAATTTTACAAAGTTTTTCCTTTGTATGGAGACTTTTGGGACACCTGTACTTTGCGATGGGGCAGAGACCTGCAAACCCCACCTCTACTTAGCCAGCCGGTGCCCCATTAGACCCTGCCAACAGGAAGTGGTAGCAAGGAGTGGGAGGGGGCCTTTGCCTCCTTCCTGTCTGCTTTCAGTTCCTGCAGCAGGAGTCGGTTCTAGTTTCAAATGCTTCCCACATTCCCAGAACCAGCCTTATTGATCCCTCTTGAGACACTAGCACCAACCAGCCAACTAGGGCCTCTTCTCCAAGATTCTAGATTCTAAGAACCCCAACCTCTTGCTTTTGTTCCCCCAGCTTTAGAGGTAGTTAGTACCTTTCTCCTAAAGCTGCTATACCTGTGTTACTAGCGTCCCTTTTGTCTTAACTATTTAAATACCTGCTTAACAAATTCCTTCTATTCAATTCTCTCTTAAAATAACTGGTGTGGTTTATTTTCCTGAATGGGCCCTGGCTGATACAAAGTCCTCTGAAGGAAGCCTCTTTAACCTCTTTCTAAAGTTGAATTCTCCTTGCTGTCTGAAAGTTCTTTTTTATGAAAATGTCTCTAGCATTTAATATGTGACTTTAAACATGGTAACTTTTCTAAGGCTTAATTTTTTCATCTTTAATAGTGAGGTATTAACATCTACCCAATAAGCTTATTGTAAGGACTGAATTAAATAATCTATGTAGAACCATCAAGCACAATAGCTGGTATATACAGATGCTTGTGGTGAACATATTTGTGTCTGCTCAGCATCTCTATATTTGAGGAATCTCCTCCCCAATTCCAAGGTAATCCCAGTCCATGCCTATTTTTTTAGAAGAAGCTAATCCTTCAACCCCAGATGGACACATGGCTTAAACATGTTCAATTAAAGTAATTCATCACCCTGGCCACAGAGATTTGTCCACGAATAGACTTGTGTTCCAAGTCAGGCCAATCAATCATCATGATTATTCTTGGGATTATGGGGAAAGTATGCTATTTTTTTCCTCTGATTCCTAAACTGTAAAATCTTACACACTCAAGATTCCAAAAGTCATCTTTCCCACCACTAGGATGACCCACTAGCCCATTTTGCCTAGGACTTTACTGGTTTTAAATCTAGAAGTCTTGCATTCTAGGAAACCCCTCATTCCCAGGCAAACTGATGATTGGTTACCCATCATGATGAAAGACTTCAAGAGAATATAGCCCCTACAGAAGAAAGCAGGTATTTTTCCAAAGAAGATATATAAATGGCCAGAAAACATGTGGAAATTAACTCAGCATCATTAGTTATTAGGGAAATGGAAATCAGAACCACAGTGAAGTACAACTTTACATCTACTAGAAAGGCTATAAACAAAGAAGGGGAGGGAGAATAACAAGTATTGGTGAGGATGTGGAGAAATTTGGACCTTTGTATATTGCTGGTGGGAATGTAAAATAGTTTAGCCACTGTGGAAAACAATTTGGCAGTTTCTCAACAAGCTAAATATAGAATTGCCATATGATCCTATAATTCCATTCCTAGGTATATATCCAAAAGAATTAAAAATAGGTGTTCAAATAAGTACATGCACATGTTCATAACAGCACTAATCACAATAGCTAGAAAATGGAAACAGCACAGCCTAAATGTCCATCAATAGATGAACAGATAATATTATTGAACCATAAAAAAGAATGAAGTACAGATACATGCTACAATGCAGATGAACTTCCAAAACACTATGCTGAGCAAAAAAAAAAAGCCAGACACAAAATGTCACCTATTGTATTATTCCATTTACATAAAAATCCATTTATATGAAATATCCAAAATAGATAAATCCATAGAGTCAGAATGGAGATGGTTTCCAGGAGCTAGGGAAAGGGCAAAATAGGGAGAAACTGCTTAAATGGGTAAGGGGTTTCACTTTGCAGTGATGAAATGTTTTGGAACTGGATAAGAGGTAGTGGTTGCATAACATTGTTAATGTACTAAATGCCACTTGATTGTTCACTTAAAAATAGTTAATTTTATGTGCTATGAATTTCATCTCAATAAATTACAGAAAGAAGGAAGGGAGGAAGGAAGAAAGAGAAAGAAAGGTGGGACAACCAGGAGACAGAGAGAGAAGAAACTGGGGCTTGATGACATGAGTGAGCACCTGAATCAACCCTTTTCTGAAGTTAATAAATAACCCGTGATCTTCTCAGTTAAAAAAAAAAAAAATTTGAAAAGACAATAAATCCTTTTTTCACTTGAGTAAGTTCGAGTTGAGTTTCTTTCCTTTTCAATCAAAAATTCTGGATCATAATGCTCTTAATTAATGGTAATTACCTTAAAGCTCAGAAACCACTAAAATGATAGTTTCAACAGAGTAGAAGTAGAGTATTGAGTATCACCTTCCTAACTAGAAAAACCATTCAAGTAGCAGAAAACTCTCAAGTACTCTTCAACTGTCTCTTCTTCAAGCTCAATAGTCCCAGTTGTTTCAACCTTTTGAAGCATTGCTTGAAAAGTCCTCTTTGACTGCTATCTAAACCAGAATAGCACGTAATATTTTAGAAAATTCCTTGACATAAGTCAAAGATATGGGGTATAGAACTTCCCATTTATATCAACAAAAGAAATGACCGATGTGTCTCACCAAAGACATTTCTCCATCTCATGAATACGAAATAGTCTAAAAATAAATCCTCTTGCACCTCAGATGTTCTCACGCCTCCCTCATAATCACCTTGATGTTTCCTATGTATTATTAGCGAAGGGCTAATCACATTTTAATGTTGTAGGCTGGGGGTTTAATTGTTAGTATGTAATTGAATGGCTCTAAGTGGAGGGAACTAATTGCCTCCATGAAAATTTGATGTGATTCAGTCCAGGTATCAGTGTGGATCTGAGAATACCCCTACAGCCCACGAGTTCATTGTTTGCTAATTTCCTATAAGAGATTGGATTTTATTAACTTTTCTTGCCCTCCGTGGCTAGCTTAGTCACACAGAGATTAGCATGGGACTTGGGTTAACATAAATTCCACTATGTGTGGAGTCCTCAGATGTGCTGCAATTGGAGGAAACCTGATAAAATGCTGAAGCAAGCACCATGTGTACTTGCCATCAAATTGGTACCAACTGAGCAACACTAAGGTGCTCACACGGAAGTAATATTCATTGGGTTTCAGTCAGGTGGGAGGAGAGTACGGAGGTGGGTAAAATCACAACTAATGGATGGAGTGCACACTGTATGGGGGAAGGGCAAGCTTGTAGCCCTGGCTTGGGTGAGGCGAAGGCATCATATGTAACCAGAATGTTTGTATCCTTATAATATTCTGAAATTAAAAAAAAATAATAAAGAATCCACTTCCATACCCAACAGCAATAAACTGCCATTTTGAAATGTAGCTTAAAATAACTTAAAAAAAAAAAGAAAGAAACATGGTAGAAATCATTATGCCCATTTTACAGTTGTATAAATCTGAGCAGCAACTCAAGGTACGACAGCCCAAAATAAAAGCAAGATCTCTCATGAGCCAGACAGTGCTCTATTCATGCATTTATTCAGTCAGTCAAACCATACCTACCAGGGCTACTTTGGTAGGGAATGCTACGGAATGTGATTCTAGAACCTCCTTATTAGAGACATAAACCCTGAAAGATCATATCAGAGCTTCATAGTTAACAGATGTCAGCTGCTGGAATAATAAAACAAATATTATATACCAAAACCTGTAGTGATCAAAATTAATAATAAATCATATCAAGATTCATATTATGTCTTCCTATACAGTAAGTAGAATCATATATTTATAAGATACTTTTCTCAGGCCAAAGTTCAACAACCTCCCAAGCTACAGGATCTGACATAAGGCCAGTTTACTTCACAATCAACACCCTATGGCAATACCAGAAGGATAGAGAGGAAGCAGCAGTGGATTTTGTGTTTTTTTATTTCATGACCTGGTGGAGTTAAATGCAGAACAGTATTAAGATAATACCAGCTGGGGTGTCAATCAATAATGGGTGTTAAGACATCATTGGAAATGTAATAACATAGAATGGATTTACAAGAACTCTTCTCAGGATGCTTGTCTATGTAGGTGGAAAAAAAATGTTTTGAAAACACTTAGGGTTGGAATGAGACTCTCGCCTGCCCCAAGAACCTGTTCAAGTAACATGAGATGGTGTATTCATGAGCTGCCTTTAAGAGAGATGATTGGGCTAATACAGAGATTTCTTTCTTCTAAGTTGGGTACATAATTTGGGGGCTGATATGAATTACTTAGAGTAGTAAGGAGAAGCTGAGTGCTTCGATCTCCATCCTTTCCCCATGAGATAGGTCTTAGTCTCTCATGAACACAGATTTAAAGAATATCAGATTGACAGGACATCAAATTATTAGCATAATATAGGACGCTAATAACATGGGATACTACCATGTTATAGCCCAGCCCTTTCCACACACACTTCTCTTGGGTCTGAGAAAAGCAGAGTATACAAGGAAGGAATCACACAAAATTGGATCCCAGGCAGCCAAGGAGACTCCTCTTCTCATTCACAGTTAGCCACGTGACTGTTCAAACAATGAAAGGAGAATCAGGGATGCAAAGCACAGTGTGAACTCGGTGAAAGCTTGGATGTTCTTATGGTTAATCCTGTTCTGTTTCACTTGGGTTTATGATAAACACTTTGTATAGTTAGAATCTCATTCAGTGACATTAAAAGTTATTAATTAAGACACAAATAATTTACTAAGCTTTAATAATTAAACATCAAGCTGCTAACAAATAAAATGAATGTGAAAAGTCTATTATCCATGGGGAGCCTCAGCATCTCCTCTGTGCTCACCACCGAGTTGGGCACTGGGGAATCCAAAACTGAGAACTCAGCCCCTCCCTTGCCCCTCCCTGCCCCTCTCCTCCCTCTCCCTGCCCCTCCCTGCAATGTGCTTTCAGGGCACTGGCCCTCAGCCTGGGGAACTACTGGGAGGAAATGATTATCATCATGGTAACCAATTAGGCACCTACTCAGCATTGCCTTTCCTGCTGGATTATATTGGCAAACCCAGCAGTTTAACAAAACACTACACTTACTTGAACTCAGAAGACCCAAGTTCAAGTTCAACTATTATGCTTTCTAGCTGTGTCACTTTAGTTAAGTCAAAACCTTTGAGACTCACATAAATTGTAGCCAAAGGCAGAATCCCAAGATCCCTGATTATTCTGAGTGTTAAAACCAATAAGCAAAGTTATTTTCTAGGCTTTTGATTACTTAAGGTTGGATGACATTGATTTCATTGGTTCATCCATTCGATACATGTTCATGGAATGCCTACTATGTGCCATAAACTGTTCTAACACTGGTGCCACAGCAGTGAATAGACACTCAGCCTGAAATCAACAAACTACAACCCAAGGGCAAATTGTTTTCATATAGGCCATGAGCTAAGAATGGATTTTTCACTTTTAAATGTTTGAAAAAAAATTGAGAGAATAATATGTTGTGATGCAATTATAAAAGTATATAATATTTGAATTTGAGTGTCCATAAATAAAGTTTGATTGGGGGAAAAAAATAAAGAACTAAATGTGAATAGGTTTCAGCAATGGCCCGGGATCTTAGTTTTAATTCCTCCCCAAGTCTGTCTTTTCCCTACATGTAGAGATTTTTTGGAATGTACCAGAAGTTCCCCAGGCCAAATGATTCAGTTGTTCAACAAGCATTTATCATGCATCACTCTGCACTGGATACTGCAGCAGGTGCTGGAGACAAGGATGAATAAGATGAAGCACTTGCCCGTGGGGAGCTCAAAGCCAGGAGCAGCCTCAGACAACTCAGCCATAAGTGTCATAATGGAGATAGCCACGGAGATCCAGAGAGAGAGGAGATAAAAATTGCATAATCTGATTCCATTCAAGGATGATGACAATAAACCACCACTGTGCTAAATCCTCTATGTTCATTATTTTCTTTCATCCTCTCGGCAACCCTGTGAAGCATTAATAACCCCATTTTATGAGTAATGATATGGAGAAATGTTTATCATTTTGTTCGTAGCAGATGGTCAGAGAATTCTTCTGTAAGGAGGGAGCCGGCTTTGTTGAAAAGCTGTTAGATAAGCCCACTCATCCAAACCAAGAAGAATCAGCCTCCATGGCAAGGCTATTGGGCTGGGCACTTGATATCCTTCACAGGAGCAGAGAGAGCTACTTTACATAATAAAGGGAGGAAACAGTGGCTGTCAAGAAAATCAGGAAGAATACTGCAAAAGCAGCAGAGCTCTGCACAGGGGAAGTGTCAGCAGAAGAACAGAATCTCTGGCTAAGGCGTAGGAGAAGGGGGGAAGACAGAAGAAAAGCCAAGACTAATAGAGATTTTCCGAGAGGAATACTGTGTGCGTCGAGAGGGACCTCTCTCTGTGACCTCACAGATATTCAGTAAATCTACTTGAATTTCTTGTAGAAACCAGTGAAGAAGATGAACTTAGGCTTAAGGTTGGCAAACAGCTGGCACAGAATCTGCATAACTGACGAGGGGAAGGGCTGGCCTCTGTTTTAGAATAAAAATGGGGAAACTGGGACAAAAAGAGATTGAGCTAAAAGCCTAGGCTCTGCTCCCTTTCGAGGTACAAAAGTGCTGAGAGGCCAGAGAATTGTCTCTGCTTCTTAGGGACTGGTGAGATGAGGACATGGTCTCTGGTCAGGGGCTGAAATGGTCACCCTTGCCAAAGGGTATGTGGGAATCCAAAAGTCCCAACTTTTCAGAAGTGAAAAATTTGAGAGTCAGAGCACTAAGATCATAGGTAGACATCATAGGAGCAAAGGGTTTTTAGAAAGGAAGCATTTCTGTGGCCTTGAAAAAAGAATGAAGGTTCGTGATCCCCCCAGAGCAAGTCTCAGTGAAGCAGAAATGCTGAAGCAAATCACCATAGAAAAGTGAAAAAGCTAAGAAGAGGGAAAAGAATGGAAAATGAAAGTTCCCGTGGGCCAAGAACCTGAGATGCGATGACAGCTGAAATTCAGGGTAGGAAATGAGATGTTATTTGGTGGTGGAAAAATAATTGTAAGAACTTGTTCTACATAACTATTTTGAATATCTTTTGTAAAATCTGTAGAGACAAGTTTTATGCCTGGGAAGGGATGGAATTTGTGGCTAAAAGAAAAGAGAATTGTTAAGGGGATTGAGAAGTTGAACAGGGAGCCCAATTCTAATTCCATGGATTCTACTTCCTTA